TCACTATAATCCATTACACGTGGGTGCATTGAGAAAAGATTTTTTTAAATTCACATTTTAAAAATGTATTCACGCATGGATTTTGAGATTTAATGACAGTCTGTTGATATTAATTATTATACAAATCAAAAATTTAAGCGGGTCTCCTAAATATATTCCGAAAGTGGGGCCTGGGGAAAAATGATCCCTTTGCTCTCCCCCTAACTTAACCTAACCTAACCGGCTCTGGTTGTGGGCTTCATGTAATATTACACTGCGCGATAAACGAATATGTTAAATATAGGATATGCTTAAACAGTTAAATATTTCATGCTTATCAGTCAATAGTCATCATCACTTGACGGTTGMTGGACAAAAACAGAAAACTGTTGTTTATTTGTGTATACATTTTGACTTTGATTTCAAATTTTCAATTATAACTGATTTTAACAGTATATTGTATATAATGTATTATTTAGTATTTTTTTTCGTCTACAGATTCTTGTTTTACATGCATACCTATAAGTATAATACTAAGGARGAAACGGGATTAAAATGAAATATCAAGAAGAAATTTGTTGGGACAAGAAAAGATTTGATGCTCAATTAGGGATTAAGCCAATTTAAATGGGATGTATAGTCAACCTATCATAAGGTATATATAATATAGGGGACTTACTACTTATATCTATATATATACCTTAATGGTGTTATTTAGAAATATAGGTATATATAGGTATGATTACCATCATACTAGGTAGATATGTAAAAAAAAAAATTCAAATCAATAAATAGTATTGTAATTAATATTTAGCTTCATAAAAAAAGTATATCTACAGAATAGATATATATATTTATATGTTACATAATAATTATGTATTGGCTGTGGTCTGATATGCTATCTACGYATTGAATAATTTAAATGACTTTGGCAAAATCATTGAATTTAAAAAGAGCGTGGTGTTTGTGTGATTCGCCCACCGAGTACTTAAAAGTTATAATGACCATAATATATTATGCTCATTTAGATTTTAATATTTTGAATGTTTCTTGTGTACATATTATTATGTTTCACATATAAGATTATGAAGACGAATAGACGATAATAACACAGAAGCAAAATATCATAGGCCAAAAAAAAAAAATAATAATATGATATTGTTCATAATTGTTATTACTTTTTTTTATACGGTACCTGGAGAATTTTGTTGATTTTGATTTATCATTTTGCCATAAAAAACATTATAGTTATTGTGAGGGTTTGAAATATATTACAATAAGTAATTAATTATTAAGTAAATAGCATACCACACCTATCACAAAACAAAATAGGTTCACAGCCGATGATTATTTTAAAAATATACAAAATTTTAATAATTAATTATTATTTGTTTTGGTGTAATGAGTAAATATTTATTAAAAAACCCTATTCATAAAAATATTTAATTATTTATACATGTRTATATATATACACACACATATATATATATTTATTATTTATGTATAATACGATATTATATGAGCATTAGGTATATAGTTGTTATGATGTATATTTAGATATGATGATATTGATGTAGGTACCTTATGATTAATTTATAATTTCGTCAAAGTGACGTTAACATAAATATATTTTCATTTGACTATACCCAAATAAATTGAAAACTGCGCTAAGAATAAGTTATACAATTAAATAATTTTGTACCTGCCTTATATATATATATATATATTATGTATCCTATTAAAGCATTGTTATGATTTCTGCGAATAGAACAATAATAACTAATAACGATAAATTACGGGTTTTGAATTTAAATACAAAAACATAATATATATTAATATAAATTATAAATAAAATTTTGATCACCATCACAGGTGGAAAATAATTTAAACATTAAAAACAAAACAATTTTTATAGAAATAAAAATCATCGGTAAATGGCGTTAAAAATTAAAGGTTTGGGAACTTGACTTCTTTCGCTGATTTGTTGTTCTCGGCAACCCAAACCGAACCACTTTGAGCTTTCTGTAGTACATGAATTAGCGCACGTCCTACACTTTGGGCACTGCAAATATAATCTTGTTGAATTAAAAAATTTATATATATTTGGTTAATGGTGATCGACATACGCTTGGGGTGCTTGTGACGCAACGTCCTTATCCCAGAGATGTATGAAATTGGGCGACAATAACGCCAATTTAACGTCCTCGGGTATCGCATCCGTCAGAGTCATCCCTGGACATAAAGCGATAACTCGAATCCCCGTTAAATTCGTGTGATAMGGATCCTAGAACGCATTAAAGTTAAACAAATAACACAATACCGTCAATATTAATTAAAGTACCTAATGCAGTTTCGTATTAAAAAAAACCCATTTACAATACTGCATGCCTCTCAATGCCGGACACAATGTGGTGAGCAGTTTTTAAACGGTCATTAATRAATCAACTAAAACTATTTTTTAAATGTAAATCTAACTAATGGTCATAATAGTCAAATTTACAATTAATAAATATTATCAACACACAGAAAAACTGAATATGACACTATATATGAAACTGTAATGTAACAAATAATATTAAAATTTATATTTGTTTTGTATTATGATGAAACTTATACAAGCTCTATAATAAAGAAGGTTTCATAAACATGAATGAAAACTGTTTAGAAATAACTTTATTAAAGAAGATTTTTTACAAAAATGTATTTTCTATTAATGTCTTGAATTGGTATGTACTTTGATTAAAATATGGAACTCAATATCGGGTATATTATGTGCACCATGGTTTCAATGACAAACGCGAACGGCACTTTCACCGTGATTTTAATGCGTTTKGAGTACTAAAATGTGTTGCATCATGATTAACATAATGTACTAAATCTCGTAAACCATGAAAAATCTCAAATTAAAAGGATATAACGGATAACAACACAAATAAAATCTGAGCTGTTATAAAAACAGAAAAAAATACCCACTTAATTAAATCCCGCCTATGTTCATTAAATACCATATATTATTAATTATCACAGCAAAAAAAGAAATATTATTATTTATCATAGCTTTTTAAACTTTTTGAATTTCCAATAAATAACTGGTTCAATAAATTATAATAATTATCGTTATCCCAGACCCCAGTCCTAGCTTTATGTAATTTATTGTTACGATTTTAAATTAAGTACCTAGTTAATATTTGAATAATTATTTGTACATATTTGGTATATATATATATACATATTATGTAGGTATGATTATATGAATATTATATATGCTATACGGCATATATATTATAGGTAAGTAGGTTTTACATGTATAATGAATGGTGGTACATATTATAATACGTATTACTGTATTAAAAACTCACCCCGAATGACCTAATAAAACCAATAAGAGCATGTTTGGTTGCTGTGTAGATTGGCATGCTAGGACATGGTTTATATCCCATTGTAGACGATGTTACGACCACTGTACCACCACGGCCTCCTTTGTCCTTGCCCATAAGTTGCATCGCCAACAGTGTTCCTCTAATGACTCCATTCTATATTATAGACAATACATTTGAATATATTGAGTCTTCATTTTTATGAAATCACACATTTATAATGTAGGTAACAATGATAAATTAAAACAAAACTTGATAAAATAACATAAAAATAAATAATTATTTTTTTCTATTGTGTATATAGATTACAAGATATAAATAAGGTTATAATATGTTATATTTTTTTGTATATGTTTTAGCTCAAAACGAGATAAAACATTTCCGAGAACAGAGAACAGTCGGAAGTCAGACGTTTTCGCATGCTTACTGCTTAGATGATATTTCAGGTAAATAAGTTTGAGTGAATTATTGTAATAATTATAAAATATTCGAATAACCGTAGTGTATAAGTGTATCTATAATGGTTTAACGGATATGTTTATAAACAATTTATTCATCGATTATATATGCGTGGCTATGATSTAGTGGACTTGCACCCTCTGTAAGATCAGGCAGCTGATGCCATAAAAGATAATAAGCCTTTACAAAATTTACAGTATCTATAATTTATTATTATCATGGTGTGGGTTGCAATGTTCCATAAACAATATTACTAAACATTTAATAATTCAACAGTTTGCGGCCCCTTAAATATCATTTAGGGCCATGATCTATCAAATTTTAGTGGACTATTAAATTGATCAATTTTTTATGCSACTCGGCACATTCAATATGAATATTATGGTGTATATAAACTTAATATACATTTTTAATCAGAGAAGATAAATTTATTTTTAAAAATAAAATTATTTATCGGATATAAGATTATGATGAATTTGATGTACAAAATTATATAACAAATCTTACAGAAATAAAAATTGTCCAAAGAGGCAGTGTCTTATACCTTAGCTCTCTCCCCTATATCTATGCTTGAAAATGGATTTGAGAAAT